AACACCACCACATTGTGACGTTATTGATATGACGTCAGTGACACAAAAATTGTTTATGAATCACAAAAATAAACAACTAAATGTGACTTTGTTGGCACAAACTATTAAGTAAACGTTTTTAATTTGAAGCAATTAAATTTATTCGCATTGTCGTTTTTTGGAAAATTTCTGCATTAATAAATTTGTGCGTGAACAAAAACCGCTTTGTACACGATAAACAGAAAAAAGAAAAAAACAACAAGAAAATACCAACATGTCAACATTGTCATAATTCAAACGCAAAGTCGGTATATCTAGGGCTTCATGTGAACAAAAGGAAGATGTACAAAGTGACTCCTGAAAATGTTCAAGATGAATAAGACTAGGAGTTCCTAAAGAATAAGCGCCTTCTGCTTTATCGACGACATCCGCAATATATGTCACGATCTCAAATGAGAACAAGTTCAACAGCAACAGAACCAACAGGCAAACTAACGAGCTTTAAACACGTCTAGCTCGATATAGAATATTTCTCAATAAATAAAATTTCTCAATTTCAATTTCTCAATATTCAGTGCAATTATATTTCTAACACAACACATTGGGAACGAATAGTGCTACATATTATTAGAATATATACTTGTACAACATCTATTTACTGGAGTTTTAGAGAAATAAGCAAAATGTGCAGTTTCTAGCATGTCTGATGAAACTGGCGATTGAGTGTAGAAGAATAGGAAGACGTGGAGGCTAATCCCGCTGTAGTCCAACCTTAGTGTGGACAAGTCAGATAAAATCCTATTTCAATGGGCAATGGTGATTTCCATCCTGACGAGACAAAGTGATCTAGCCTTTAGGGAGTAAATCAGGTCCCTTGTTGTACCTTCTGTTGCGTGTTCAGCCGATGTAACATACATCACTTACAACCTAGGTCGAAAGCTGTTGCTTGGGGCACCAAATCACGACCCGACATCGTGTGTGCAAAACCTAACACAAAGGAATAATTCAAAACAGGGGATTATACAAGAAGTTTTACAATTAGGAATTCACGATATTACAAATGCCAAAGCACATCAAATCAAATTTATCTCAGTTTTTGTGTAAAATTCTTTATTTCCAAATATTCTTTCATGGGGTTCTCTGTCACGACCGTTGACATTCAATTTTATTTTAAGAGCGTGCACAAGATCATCACATATTTAATTAATCTCAGATTAATTGAAGAACTATATCGAGGTATGACTCTCGTAGATTTCTTCAATAGGTTAAACCCAATGTTCCAATGTGCTTTAAGGATCCCAGTATGCATATTTTCTTCATTTTTTTACTCTGTAAGGTTTTAGAGGGAATGATTGACATTCAGTTGAACCTTGTTATCTTGAACTTTCGCTCGTCCGTTGAAAGCCCGAAAGGCCGTCTTAGCGGAAGTAAAACCCGTTAAATGAATAAAAATCCCGAGCTCGGCGGGACCATTGGAAAACTTCGAGATAACCGAGTATTCGATTTAGGTGAGTTCAAATGTTTTGTGTAAAGTTAGGCAGGGATCGTCGAAATGCTTCGAATTAAACGAGGTCTTCGAGTTACACGCGTTGGAGATAACGAGGTTCGACTATAGATGTTTGAGGAGAAGTATGATTAATTGACCAGTAACACATGTATTGTAAATAAGTTGAAAAAGAAAAAGGAAATACATACTGGTGCCTTTAATAACATATTTATTGGATAAGCGTACGTACATTATCATGTAAGTGTTTTGACTAAATACATTGTTAATGAAAAAGGACCGAAAACATCTAAATTTCTTCATGGAAAATACTGATGATAGATACTTCTCTCACCTGGTTGAATGACAAATTATTTTAAATTTCACCTCAGGTGAACAAAATTCCTAAATCCTCAATGATATTGTGTTTGTATATATATGTACCTTTATTGTATATACGAAGTAGTTTTCCCGGGGAACTGCATAATGCTAATTGCTGAACATGCTAAACCTCCAGATTCAGAAAACGAAAAAAAACATCCATGTGTTCAGGACAGGACGACATCACCTTTATGCAAAACCGAAAGAGAAGACCCGTTGTTCTCTAAGTTTCCGCTATCATTGATAAGCGAATATAAGTTTATAGAGATTCATCAAACAGCCAGGATCCTGTTCTCCCAAGCGTCGGAAAACGAAAGTTCCTTGGCATAAAGATCTGTGTGAAAGCTACTGAATCTCCATACACGTATCGACAACTGTTGAGTGCTCTGACCAAGCTCTAATTCTAAAAGTGATGTCCTTTGTTTTAGACCCGTGGCCATCTATATCACTAGCCCTTCAACTCTGGGTCTCGGGTTCGAGGCCTTCTTGGGGCAGTCGCAGACCGCAGCTCGGTGTTTTCTCTTCGGGAACTGCGGCTTTCCTCAACCACACAAGTCTGGCACGTCATTAAATGACACTGGCTGTTAACAGTACATAAAGCAGTAATAACGCAAACATTTCTAATCAAGAAAACATAAAGGGCATGCTTATGAGCCTAACAAGGACGAGCTTCTTCGAAAGTAAAGTATAATTGGTTCTCTTTTCATAAACAGCTTCATTTTTGTGTCAAGGTAGACAACATCAAAGTTAACAATGTACCCAGGAATACGGGTGCTGTTGCTGCAGTTTCTACTGCAATAGTATAAAACTTTATACTGTAAAACCATTATTTTTGTGGGGATTTTATCTTCGTTGAATATGTGGTTATTCTTAATCCACGAATTTATATGTCCATGAAACGATAAACTGATCAATTTCAAATGAAGTATAATACTGAGTTTTTAGAAGTGTTTATCAACGAAATTAAATGCCAACAAAAATGCACATCTTTCTAAAATCTGGAAATTTCATACCCACTAAAACATATGACTTTACAGTAAATTACTTTATGTAACGTGTCGTTGTCAAATTAGCAAGGTGTTTTGACCAAGACTGTTTAATTATTCAATCATTAACAAAGCGGTCCGTTAATGATTCATTAGCAAACCGAAGGTTTTAGGACATAAAGATCAAGCTAATTGAGCACGTGCATTGGTGTTACATTACATTAAGTCGTTCCGAAATCTAATTAACTGGTGTTATATCCCCCTGTCTAACTTCGTGTGTGACTCAGATAAAACCATTACTGTAGTTGGTAAGAATATCCAACAGGGGTAATGAGACATGGAAGGATATTTAGTTTCCTAATGTTATAGTTCAAAAAATGCATTCAAGTTTGGGTACCATCACACTGAATATACCCAATGGCACAATTAAGGTATTTGTTAGGTTCGCCAGATGCACGGGACATTCTAATTGTACATTTATTCAAAGAGGAATGTTATAGCTCTCACTGCTTTATACTGAATTTTAATTGTTTTTAGAAGATTAGAAAAAATTAGAAATGAAAAACAAAATCAAACTCGTATTCAGTAATACAATTAAGTTGCGGTCTAGTTTTGTATCAACTTTTTTTTTAACCTTTATGGCGATTTACCGAAGATTTTCAGAACTACAAAAAACATACATGTCCTTGACATTTGCAATAGGAATCGAAGACTGTACAATAGACACGCCTTTTAATACAAATGAAGTAGAGGCAAACACAAAGAATCGCACAGCTGTTTATTCCTTCTAGGACATCTCAGTAATGTCATGGGCCTAAAACCTAGGGTGGTGGTGGTGGGGGAGGTGGGGGGAGGTGCATTAGCCCCATCATTAAATAAATTTCGCAATTTTCATTTATCAAATAATTTTAGAGCAGCGTGCAAGTGCATGTGTATATTCTAAAATTGTGCCAGTATTCGAATGAATTTTGTTCAATAAACGCATTTCATATGTTAAGACATGGCAGGGAGGGACGGAGTCATGCTGCGTTAGACAGCGTGCTCTGCTAGATCAGTAATGCATGTTTTCAATGATACATTTCAGCATTTGGTTACTCTATAATATTCATGCAATAATATTCGTATCATTATGTTGCTTTTGTCGAATGCACATAGGTGAGTATCAATACTTTGTCATTAGTCTACCGTCGTTTCCTCGAACTTGTATAGCTCGAAATCCCTATTTAATTCGAAGCATTTTGTCGATATCTGCTGATCTTTATACAAAACATTCGAACTCGAATACTCGGTTATCTCGAAATTTTCCAACGGTCCCGCCGAGTTCGAGATAACGAAGTTCGACTGTCATGTGAAATATGCATGGGTTTACAGTACATGATATATATCAGCAATGTTGCCGCCGGAAAGTTAAGTGTCAACTTATGATCATGTACGTGGTAAATGTAGCCCTTTTTAAAGGAAGCCGTTAGCTAAGAACCTATGTAAGCAAACACCTCGAAAATGTCTCAGTCGTCAGGCGAAATATATTTATTTGATATCTTAAGAAATATCAGCAGTCAGGATTCTAGTCTACCTGAATACTTATTTTGAGTATACAGATCCTTGAGGTGATTTCTACTTGTTTGACTGATAAAAATCATTTACTATCAAACCCATACAAAAAACTACTCTGTATTTCGCCACAAATGGTTTTTTTCCACACCGGTTACTGTTTTGAATAAATTCTACAAAGTACTGTCAGTGAAAAGTAGACTTGTGTGTCCGGAACGGTGTAATCGATCTGTGGTAAAATAACTTATGGTAAAATTTCATATTAATGATAACAGTCATTATAACATGTCATGCATTTTGTTTGAATCAAAAATCGTTGAAAACTGCATCACTATTTATATATAATGATACATGTAAAACTCTGTATACTGACTAACTGAAATGTACCAGGATGTCTTTGATCTCTGAATTGTTAATGTATAGCCAACAGCGCTGTTTGACAGTGTAATTTAGACCGATAATCAACACTCCCGTGTTACACACTGATGTAACTTGAAATAGACAGCTTTTATATCCATATATATTATTCGTTTTTTCACAAAATTTAAACACAGCTGCGTATTTATTCTGTAACCAACTTCAATTCCGTTTTGATTTCAGGGCAGCATTTCCTTTCAAATATGGCTCTATTTCATCTTATCATATTAACGGTGTTCATTCGGAATCTCTCGATCGCTACCGAGCGACACACGAGAAACTATGATACGGAGTTCTGCATCATTGGAGCAGGGCCAGCTGGTCTGCAACTTGGGTACTTTTTCGAGAGATCAAGAATGGACTATTTAATATATGAGCGATCTAATATATCAGGTAGGTAAAACAGGTCTTATGACGTCTGATTCGTGTATTTTTTCATTGTGATTTGTAGTAAACATTTTATCATTGGCGGGATTTAGATTGATGCCAATACTTTATAGAACTTTACCTGATTTCCGCGAAAGTACGCGTTTTATTTTGCAAAAGTCTATTTCAGAATAAAAACTTGCCAAACTGAATATATTAATTTCCGACAAAGCAATATGGACTGTAGCTAGTTGAAACGGCCTCCACGATTGTGTATAGCCATATAGACGCAAATGCACTGTTTATATAAGTAATTTCTGTGTCCATGGAAAGTATCAAAAGAAAAACATTTACTATTAATGGTAAATAAAGCGTTAACCTGGTTATGGAATTTTGTTCTGAATAGTAATGTTAGTATTGAGATACTACAAAACAATCATAACGGATTTGTTGATTTTATCATTTTAAAATATCGAGGATTGTTGATACCATTTTAAATGTGTGTGATCAATTATCAGAGCGAATCTCGGCGCCCGAGCGATTCTTTACCGGTAATATATGTAAGGCCACGTTTCGTATATGTCCAGGACGAGAGGTACCGAGGGGAAGAAAAAAGACAAATTCTTTCGGAAGTGACAGGGATGGTGCTCAACACTATACACTAAACTTTAGTTTTAATAAAAAATATTACGACAGCATTTCCGCTTTCCTGAATTTCTTTGGTCATAAATATGATTTTACAAAAATTTAATTGGCATGGATCAAAATTTCTTTCTTCCTCCAAGTACTCGGCATATAACATCAAACAATACCCTGACGTCATATACACATACACACAGGACGTCAACGTCACAATACACGAGCGATTAATTAGTCATTTTTCTTCATTTCTAGAGGCGCTTACCACTTAACCAAAATCTTTCAACCGAGAATACCTGGGGCATGTAAGCTTCGCTCTTTCCAAGCACGGTCTGACTCATATTAGTTTGTAATAAGAAGGTCAAAACAGTATTTTAGACTATAAATATCTAAATCATTAGGTAATTTTATTCCGTGTATGAACATTTCATTTATTAAAAGATCTTATCTACTGCAGGTAGTTTCTTTGTGAAGTATCCACGTCACGGGAGACTTATCAGTATTAACAAGCGAAATACCGGAAGTAGCAACAAAGAGTTCAACCTCCGCCACGATTGGAACTCTTTACTCAGCGACGACGACAGAATGTTATTCCGACATTACTCGTCTGATCTATTTCCTCACAAGGACACCATGATAAGGTATACTAGTTCGTTTTAATGTCGATTTGTTTCCAAGCAGCATTATTTCAAAACTTGTTTTATAATGAAAAAATAAATCCCCAAAGCATTGTGCAATATAAAGCGCATGGGATTTGATATCATATTCTCATCTTGATACCTCCCCTAAACGAAGCAAGGTGCTATGATGGACTATACAGTTTAATCATCTTTTCTGTTTGACGGTCTACTTGTCTGTCCGTAAATTGGAACTTTCCGATCTTCCTCAAAATTTGCGAACTGACTTCGATGAAATGTTACACACACCACGTACCTTCATGTTGTGCATATGTGGGTTTTTTTTTATCAATCTTTGTTCGGAAATTTTCCCGCTTAATATCTGACACAAAAAACTTTCCAACATATGTATAATTCAATATACCCATATCGCAGAGTCGTCCCAATACGGGATATATTCATTAGGAACTTTCAAGAGACCCCTTTCTCAATAAAACGTAGATAGAGAAAGTTTGGCGCATTTTTATTGCGCATTTACGATTTCACATTGATCATTTAGGTACAATAACGACCGACCACATCACCCTGGTTTTTGTCACAATTGACAAAAATAGACATCATAAAAACAGAATAGCGTTGGTTTCTTTACGACCCTGTAAATGTCAGTAGAAACAGCGCCAATAAATTGCACGCAATCTTTTTACGACCGTATCGATTGTCAAATAAATTTCGCGCATATTATGAGATATTTCTTTTAATTATTTCTTAATCATCAAAGTATCGTCGTTGTTGCTCTATTGTTAAATATGAAGTAGAAAGTGCTATTTTTAATGAAAACTAAAAATAGGGAAAACGTGAACAATGTTGTATATTTTTTGTCCAGTTACGTTTTGTCGACTCAACGCTATTGTAAACATTTGCAACAAGGATAACGTCACCTTGTGTTTGAAGATAGGAAGAAGAGAACACATCAACGACGTTGTATGATTTTTTTGCCTTTTATATTCTTTGTTATGTAAGAAAAATTACAGTTGAAAACAAATTCAACGAAATTATGGAAATTTGACATGTGTTAAAGTATAGCGATTTATTTACTAACGAAGGAAAATATGAAATAGAATTACGGTATTGGATAGAGAGTACAAGAAAACATTCTAAATGAAACTTATGTCTATGTAGAGTACACCGAATGTTTGGCACATTCACCACACAGTGAGCAATTTCCAAATGGACACTGTGACAACAAAGGACATTTTGATCAATTGACTGTATATTGCACCTGACTGAGTATTGCAAAATTTCATTAACAAAAATCAACAACGATTTTTATTTCCTAAAGCAAAAACAAAAACAACTCTATGGTGTCTTTCATTCAGGTACCTCAATGATTACTCGAAACACTTTCGTTTGAAAGTTAAGTACAATACAGAGATTAGCAACATCCGAACGACAATGACGATTGACAATGGGAACCATCCGGTGTTCCGAATGGACGATCAGAATGGTAAAACTTCAACTTGCAAGTAAGTATGAAGATGAATTCTGTTTAGAGCTAGTTTGCTGCAGACCTGCCCAATATCACCCCAATAAGCAGCAAACCCATCCTTATTTATCATGTGTACATTCATTAATATTCATTTTCTGGATTGTCATCGGACGGTATTGAAATGTTGATCTAGAATATATCCGTGATTGGTTGTACAATTTTCAATTTTTTGTGACTAACCATGTTAATCTTGTGTGATGATATAACCATTTAAGATTTTTATCATTTGTTTTTGTACCTTTTGGTTTGTTTGATGTTATTTCCTTTTTGGATCGCTGTGTGCTTTATCGGTTGATGGCCCTAATAACCTTTTATGTGTAGACGGACCGTTAAGATTGTAATAATAATAATAATATTCAAATTTTTTATATGATGTCAGACTGAATAGAAATGCTTGTTGTTCCTTCGAACTGTCGGTAAGACATGGTGCTGATTTTTTCAGAGGAAGAGGGTCTCAAAACAGAACAGAATCGTTCTTAGTCGCCCTAATCTTAATGCAACTCTCCGTCGACATAATACTCTGTGTTGAGTTGGGATAGGTTCCATCTAGAAGGCTAGAAGTACCGAATCAGATGAATGTACCTATTATGTGATATTACGTTTTGTCTTTTTGAAGGGTGGTCATACTAGCTACCGGTTTATTTAAGCCGTACGTTCCAGACTTGCTCGGAGTGGAGTTGACTGACAGCTATGATACTCTCTCCGTTGACCCAGAAGACTATGAGGCCAAATCCGTAATGATATTAGGTAATAAAAAAGTATTTATTAAGAAACTATATGTACTTTCTGAATTTCTTTTTGCTCAATAATGCGTTATGAATATGCAAATGTACTTAACGTTCTTTTGAAACTGTCAGACATCTGAGTATTGCTTAAATTGAATAAAGGGGATAGCACGCCATCTAGATTTCAGCAATTTTTATCACTTTGAATTTACCTAAGTCCCCCTTTAGGTTTCAAAATTAAGCCTTTAGATTCACTGACGAATCCTAGAAGGACTAAACAGCCGTATGATGAAGTATAATCCATTACTTGGCTCTGCTGTAACTTATCCTAAATTGTGTTATTGATTTTGAAAAGTAGAATACACGCCATAAATCAGTATGTTATAGGAAGAGAGCACTGAAAGTTGCTGTTCACTTGGTTTTTTTTTTTTTTTTTTTTAAATATTTTTTTTTATGAAATTCATAAACTTTCTATTCTATTTTTTGAAGGCCGAGGAAATTCTGCTTTTGAGACAGCCGATGCTATCTATTCCAAGACGAACTTTATCCACATGGTTGGGCGAAGTAGGATAAGATTAGCATGGGAAACGCACTACGTTGGAGATATCAGGTGACTAGTAATCTTAATTTATTTTACAACAATCGCGAAAAAAGTCAAAGTAACTAATTCTAATCACTCTTGTTCGTCCGGATGTAAATGCTGCTCAGGGGTCTTATTATGGGAGGAAACCTGAGTGTCTCGGAAATAAATCGTGGTCAGACAGGTTACCCCTTGCCCATTTTACGTCAATTCCAGGAATCGGACAGCGGATGGTCAGGTGAAACGCGAGTGCGTTACCACTGCGCCAAGGTACCACTCTAAATTGTCGGATGAGAATGGCCTCTTTGATGTACTCATTGATGTTTCATCACCGACCTCAGCAATAGGTCAGAAATCATTGGAAGCTTAATCTTCCCACTGCATTTGAACACCATTTTATCAGTCTCTTTGGCACCACTGGTTATTTCATTATGTAAAAAAAACACAATATTCGTGGGTTTTTATTATTTTTTTATTTCTTTGCTACAGGTTATATGTTCTCATGTTGATAAAATGATATAAAGTTATTTCCTTTATTCGGGACATATATTTCCAATTGAAAGACAACATAAAATATGGTCAATATTGGGGGACTGATATAATCAGAATATGCCGATACTTGTAATCAATCTTCAGTTTATTGCGTCTGTGAAAGTTTGTCGGCACACTAGCCGCTTGAGAGCTTCTCTTCATACTTCACACACTCACAAAATCATCAAATTATCTTGGACAAGTTCAAGAGAAGCTAATATTTCTATTTATAAACAAATTTAAAAATCATTACAATGTAATAGCATGTGAGGTCGGCAGAGACATGTATTGCTTCTGCAATACTCCGTATGCCTGGGTTTTTTTCACTCTTATTACTGTGCTAAGAGGTTTCGCGTTCATTCATTCTCTTCATCTACTAGTATTCTTGTTCAAATTTTATTTCGTTTTGTAGTCTCCCCCCCCCTACGGTTTCAAAATTTGGACCCTTCGCGCAATTGATAACTCTTAGAAGGACGGAACAGTTGTATTATAGTTCTCTTCATAATTTTCTCTCTACTGTAGCTTATTCTATATTTGCATTGAAAGTCCTATTCACCCGTTTCTTTTTTCTCATTTTTTGAAAATGACAGATATCGTTGATTTTCCTTAAAATGTTAAGCTTCCCTTTCATCATGTGTCGTTATCTTTATAATTCTCAGTGGTTTCGATACAAATACTTATATTTTCATATTTTTAATATTACTCATAGTAGAGATACGGTTTTGTGTCACTAATATTTCCTTTTTTGTTGGTTTCGGTACTGAACAGGGCAGTAAACAATGGCTTGCTTGACACGTACCAACTTAAGTCACTCGACGGTCTGATGGAGTTCGGTAATGTAACAGCTTTCCGTGTAGTGTCGGAGGGAGGTAAGCTCTTCCTGCGAGATCGGGAAAACTCGACGGCGGGTCACCCTTTCGACAATGATCCACTTAATACTCCATACGACAAGATTATCAGATGTCTCGGCTTCATGTTTGACAAGTCAATTTTCAATAAGTGAGTCATTTATTTAGTATGATTGAATTAATTTTCTTTATGTATTTTTTTTCTCTTACCATTGATAGGTGTATCCGCGCTTTTTAACCGTATGAAATTTTAATTGTCTTATCCTAGGGTTTAAATGGGGGAATTCCTGTCAGGACAATGGTATAGTCAGAGTAACAATTCAATAAACATTTCGTATAGATGATGTCACGACAACGAAGCCCTCGGGAAAAAAAACTTGAGTTGAGGTCGGTGAAGGAAATATTTCAAATTTCAAATTACGATAATAAAGTAGCAAAACGATAGGAACTCGAAACTAGGACAAGATAGCAAATGAAAGACAGTATGTACCGCGACTTCCTTGAAATGTACAACCCGTTTCCTCCAAGCTTTTAATATACAATTATTCACCACAGTACTGATAGCATTACGATGCCATACCATTATTACATTTTCCAGATTGTATGTTATCCATTGGTACGTTGTATACGTACGCTTCATCGTTTGTATTATTCTTGAAATTCCAAGAACAGGAAATGAAGTACTAGCTTAAAAAATTCTAAATAAGGATTTTATTTTTATTAATAGGTCTTAAGAGCGAGTCAGGGTTTTTCCCAATAATATTACCTTTCAATGATACATGATTTTATATACCTGTATTCGTCTATGATTGCTTAAATGGTGCAGTTAATCAGAACTTATCAAACCTACTAATTAAGGTACCACTGACCCGTTTGCCTCTCGAAAGTGAAATACCTTTCTAGTGGTTTCAATTGATTATAAATAGTCTTAGTTTTAAGACTTCATTTATCATTATGTTTTACGACACTGTAAGTAATATTATTCAAGGAAAATATTACACATCTCTTTCATAATGTCTTTTTACGTTCTATTTATAACCAGGGTAAAATATAGCCTCTGTCATATTCCAGATACTAAAATGTTAAAGTGCGTATGTATATTACACCTTGCACTTGAAATTTCTACGTGCTAAAGCGAATAAATGTTACTTCACTGACTGAAGAGAAAGTTTTTTTTTTCCATTGCATTATCAGTGAATCATGGGTACCTTCGTGGCAAGGTCGCATGGCAAAATACCCCAAAATACGACAAGATTATCAGTCACCTGTCATGCGCGGACTTTTCTTCGCTGGAACTATGGCTCACTCATTAGATTACCGAAAATCTGCCGGAGGTTTCATCCATGGCTTTCGGTATACAGGTAAAAAGCAGACAGAGTATTGGTAAGAAATAAAGCCATTCTTTCGAACAAATTTTTTCTTCTGAAATATAAAGAAAATAGAAATTTTAAAAATACAAAAAGTATTTTTTGTTTTTATAGAATTCGATTGTCTTATTTTTCTTATGCGCCTCTACAGTAGATTGTTTAGGTTAGAACGTAAATCATCTTACGATGACTGTACTCATATATGAAAGGAAATTGATATTTTTTCTTAATTTCTTCAGCAAAATAATAAGTACTTTCAATTTGGTAAAGACATGAAATTCATAAAAATTCTATGAAATAAATGTCTGTTTTAGCTCGCGCGCTATTCAACATCCTACGGCACAAATACAAGAAAAAGTCATGGCCAAACGTGCGCTTGCCACTCACTGACCTCTCAACAACAATACTCAAGCGTGTTAACGAGGCATCCGGACTCTACCAGATGTTCAGTGTCCTTGGAGACATCGTGCTTATTAATCGGTTAGTATTCTTTATGTTTTAAAAATGGTAATGGGTCATTTAAAAAATAGGACTAAGATAAATTAGTTTGTAAAGGCATACCTTTACGCAATGCAGCAAGCAAACATTAAACTATACTTTGTGCGAGCCGTTTTCAAGGTGTTTTCCTTTTCCCCGTAAACAATGGCAGTATATCATTCTTTTCAGAGAAGAAGAAACTTTTCGGTATATTGAGGAGTTTCCTTTGCGAATATTGCACCATTTAGAGTATGTGACAGGTATTGACATTGGGAAGGCCTCCGTGTTGGTCGTAGTGTTACAGTATGGACATGATTTTCATGGTCCCCAGGAAGATGTGTTCCGAGTGGACAGAGCTAGTACCGATCCTATATATGCTGAGTTGTCGAACTTTCTGCACCCTGTCCTCTATTATTACGATATTATACCGAACCGTAAGTATCTATCTTTCCAGCATTACAATTCTAGTATTTTGAACTTGATGTCAATTTTTTTAAAGAAATGATATAACAGCACTTTAATTCAAGCAACATTTAATGAAAAAAGTTTATTTTCCACTTCAGATGAATTATTGACCGTTTACGGTATTGTATTCTAAATATAACATTGAATTTTGATATAACGTAGCATGTATAGAGTAAAGGCTGTGTACGAATTTTGATGTTATATCAGATCAGTATAGTGAACTTAAAATATCCTGTACCAGCCTTTGGTTAAATGTCATTTCAAACTATTAAATGAATTTCATAAATTCAATATGACATAGGCACTATTTATCAAAAGCAATAATCCTTTTTAAAAAAATCCTGAAAAACTCTCGTTGCATGTATTTCACCCCGGTCTCTGTTATCTCCATTGTTATGACAATTGTACGATGTCTGTTAAATTTGCTGTTGCTATATAATTACACGTGTGTTACTGTGTAACACGATAACTTAAACCTTTGATACACAGGAACTTTACTTAATCGCTATATGTGGATTTATTTTTTAGAGGAAGCCATGGCGTCAGTCAGACGCCCAGAATTCCTTCCGGTGCCTGATGAGATTCATCATGTTTTAGAAGATTTTACAACACAATGGAACCGACCACAATCACATGTCGAACCTCTTCATATATTTTTAGAAGAGTTTTTAAAAATCCCTTCACAAATCGGAATTTCTCACCAAGAATGCGTTTTGGTCTCTTTAACGATGTATAAATCTCCAATGAATTGTAGACATTTTCTCGACCGACATTCAGTCATATAAAGATAAAATCACACAATCTCGTATTGAATTTCCCTTCCAGCATGCCTATCACTCTAAATCAAGTCACAAAGCATTCGTGATAGACTCACGAAAAAAGGACATCAAAACATATAAACTTGATGATTTACCCTTGCTGTTAATACGACGTTAAGCAACACTATAACAACACTTGTATTGTATATACGTTCCTATTGGTTATTCAGATTCGAATTGAAAGAACCTTTACGTTATGAAAAACAGAAAATTATTCAATTCACTGACAGCAAAGCTAAATTGATTTCACGTAATTAGAAAATGTTAAGTGTCGATGTAGTATTATAGTTCCCAATTTTCTTTGTTATCATATTTTTCTCCACTGAAAAATAATTGATGCATATATATGTTCGTCTTTTTTTTTCACAAATAAAACGAATACTACTTTTCTTTTACACATGTTGTCATCTGTTGATGTATTGCTAAGGACACATTTGTCCTTATAATAATCCACGATATTTGAAAATGATATCCCCACGACATATTATATATTCTTGGTGATTCGCACTGATTTATCTCGGTACATTTTCTTCAAGTTAGTTATGTCATTAAGTTCTTAAAACACAATCAGTAGAAAATTTGAGTGTAACGTTTCGATGACTCCACGGTCACCTTCATCGGACAAATGACCAGTGTGGAGAGTACTAGCACTGATGTACGTAGTGTACGAGATGGTAAGGAATCGATCAATTTTTTTGGATGCACTATAACTCTATGTACACTAAGATCGAAAATAGCGAGACGAGATGGTAAACAGATTATAGACCCGAAAATACACATGACGGTAACAATGCACTGTAATCAATTCCGCAACACTTTGTTTAAAACTTGGCATACAGATGTGCGAGAGTCGGTTGCCCTCTCGTCTCTGTATATTACTGGCCACCTACGAAGTATCAAGATGGCTTCTTTAACCAGCCACTAGAAAAGGTTTTTTTCACTGTTGACTATTTTGTACATGTTATTTTACTGTGTGGAATGGCCCGTAAGTGCCGAATAATTAATTTGAAACTGAGAACGCTTTCACTTTGATCTATTGAATTGTTTGCCTTTTTGAGATTCAGCATCTTTCTAGGTCCCACCCAGAATCTCCGGTCTGTCTCTATGATGCGTCGCAGTTCTTGCACCGATTTTGTTTACGCATTCTGCGACGTTCTCCTCGGATGTTTTATCCTAACGTTAGACTAGGATATTTCGGAGAGCCTCGTGAGGTTTCGTGGCTGTTGTAATACCATGGCCGCGGTAAATGATTTGAATGGTCTCTGACAGACCTTTGATGTAAGAGATGACTACTTGTTCTTTCGTTTTGTTCTTTTCCTTGGTTTTTCATCTCTTAGCCATGTTGCTTTTATCAAATTCTTTGTTTTTGTAACTTTCTGGATTGCCCAAACAAGGTATCCACGTGTTTTCATGGCACTATGGATGTGATTTTGTTCTTGCATCTTGTCTTGTTCTGTAACAATCGTTTCACATCTGTTGAGCAAAGTTGGTACAGCGCTCAACTTCTGGTGGTACGATCGGAAGTGGAGGTATTGGCCGTAGTCGACTTTTTCCTATTGATCTCTACTTTGATATTCCTTTATTAAAAGTGTGACATGGAATGGCAAAATGCCATTGATTTCTTCCTCACGGATGAGTTTGATGTTGTTGGTGATATATATATATATGGTAGTCAAATTATTCTGTGACCCCTTTTTCAATATGTCATCAACATACCGCTTCCACAGGCCGAGGCAAGAGTCTTTTTCTCCGTCTGCTGCATGAACAAGTTGGCCAACCGGAGATACTGTGGTGCCCATGGCAGTGCCAAACCATTGCTGACAGATGGTATCTCGGAAGGCAAAGCATATTGTTGTAAGCACGCATTCTAATAAATCCATCTTGTCCTGAATACAGAGATTGGTGTTCTTTCGCCATGACCGGTCTGGCAGCTCCGAATGATAACAAGTGCTTTGTGTGGTGTGTTGATGAAAAGAGACACCACATCATTAGAAATGATCGTTTTGGATAAGTACAGTGGATATCCTTTCTACATGGTCTTGTGAGGGTTTGGCATGATGTTCTGATTTCCCTACCAAGAGTCCCAGAATCTTTGTGATTGACCTGGAGACATTGTAACCCAATTGGATCATGTATGATTTGCATTCAGGACGTGAAAATGTACGTTGAACAACATGATAAACAAGTACAGAAATGTATGTTTCTGACTGTATATATGTATTAGTAACGCACGCCGGCATATGTATTGTTAACATTACGTTTGTAAATTATAAAAAGGTTTATATTATTTTGCCGTTATTTTTGTACCCAAGAGATATAACATAATCGGTGCAAATAAAACCAACAAAACATTCAAGTGGTTGTGATATCAGGCAAAACTGACAATTTCAGAAATACAAGGAAATATCATAACTCATCAAATATTTTAACTGGAATATTTCTTATCTTCAAACAAAACAATATTTTTTTTTATAGAAATCCAGAAGAAATATCATAACTCTTCAAAATGTTTAACTAGAATATCTGTTATCTTAAAAAAAACCAGAAATCCAAAAAGAGATCAAATAATTCAGTAAATCCTGTCAGTAAATCCCTGTCAGCATGTCAGTAAATCCCTTAAAATAACCATCCTGTCAGTGTCAGTAAAGGTTCTCCCTGTCAGAAAAGGTTCATCCTGTCAGTAAAGGTTCTCCCTGTCAGTAAAGGTTCTCCTGTCAGTAAAGGTTCTCCTGTCAGTAAAGGTCAGTAAAGGTTCATCCTGTAAGTAAAGGTTCTCCCTGTCAGTAAAGGTTCAGTAAAGGTTCTCCTCCCTGTCAGTAAAGGTTCAGTAAATCCCTGTCAGTAAAGGTTCTCCCTGTCAGTCCCTGTCAGTAAAGGTTTCCCTGTCAGTAAAGGTTCTCCCTGTCAGTAAAGGTTCTCCTGTCAGTAAAGGTTCTTCCTGTCAGTAAAGGTTCTCCCTGTCAGTAAAGGTTCTCCCTGTCAGTAAATGTTCTCCCTCTCAGTAAAGGTTCTCCCTGTCAGTAAGGTTCTCCCTGTCAGTAAAGGTTCTCTCTGTCAGTAAAGGCTCATCCTGTCTCTGTCAGTAAAAGTTCTCCCTCTCAGTAAAAGTTCTCCCTTTCAGTAAAGGTTCTCCCTGTCAGTAAGGTTCTCCGTGTCAGTAAAGGTTCTCCCTGTCAGTAAAGGTTCTCCCTGTCAGTAAAGGTTCTCCCTGTCAGTAAAGGTTCTCCCTGTCAGTAAAGGCTCTCCCTGTCAGTATAGGTTCATCCTGTCAGTAAAGGTTCATCCTGTCAGTAAAGGTTCTCCCTGTCAGTAAAGGTTCTCCCTGTCAGTAAAGGTTCTCCCTGTCAGTAAAGGTTCTCCCTGTCAGTAAAGGTTCTCCTGTCAGTAAAGGTTCTCCCTGTCAGTAAAGGTTCTCCCTGTCAGTAAAGGTTCTCCCTGTCAGTAAAGGTTCTCCCTGTCAGTAAAGGTTCTCCCTGTCAGTAAAGGTTCTCCCTGTCAGTAAAGGTTATCCCTGTCAGTAAAGGTTAAAGGTTCTCCCTGTCAGTAAAGGTTAAAGGTTCTCCCTGTCAGTAAAGGTTATCCCTGTCAGTAAAGGTTCTCCATGTCAGTATAGGTTCATCCTGTCAGTAAAGGTTCATCCTGTCAGTAAAGGTTCTCCCTGTCAGTAAAGGTTCTCCCTGTCAGTAAAGGTTCATCATGTCAGTAAAGGTTCTCCCTGTCAGTAAAGGTTCTCCCTGTCAGTATAGGTTCATCCTGTCAGTAAAGGTTCATCCTGTCAGTAAAGGTTTCCCCTGTCAATAAAGGTTCTCCCTGTCAGTAAAGGTTATCCCTGTCAGTAAAGGTTCTCCCTGTCAGTAAAGGTTCTCCCTGTCAGTAAAGGTTCTCCCTGTCAGTAAAGGTTCTCCCTGTCAGTAAAGGTTCTCCCTGTCAGTAAAGGTTCATCCTGTCAGTAAAGGTTCTCCCTGTCAGTAAAGGTTCTCCCTGTCAGTAAAGGTTCTCCCTGTCAGTAAAGGTTCTCCCTGTCAGTAAAGGTTCTCCATGTCAGTAAAGGTTCTCCCTGTCAGTAAAGGTTCATCCTGTCAGTAAAGGTTCTCCCTGTCAGTAAAGGTTCATCCTGTCAGTAAAGGTTCTCCCTGTCAGTAAAGGTTCATCCTGTCAGTAAAGGTTCACCCTGTCAGTAAAGGTTCTCCCTGTCAGTAAAGGTTCTCCCTGTCAGTAAAGGTTCTCCCTGTCAGTAAAGGTTCTCCCTGTCAGTAAAGGTTCTCCTGTCAGTAAAGGTTCAGGTTCTGTCAGTAAATCCCTGTCAGAAATCCTGTCAATAAAGGTTCTCCCTGTCAGTAAAGGTTATCCCTGTCAGTAAAGGTTCTCCCTGTCAGTAAAGGTTATCCCTGTCAGTAAAGGTTCATCCTGTCAGTAAAGGTTCATCCTGTCAGTAAAGGTTCTCCCTGTCAGTAAAGGTTCTCCCTGTCAGTAAAGGTTCTCCCTGTCAGTAAAGGTTCTCCATGTCAGTAAAGGTTCTCCCTGTCAGTAAAGGCTCTCCCTGTCAGTAAAGGTTCTCCCTGTCAGTAAAGGTTCATCCTGTCAGTAAAGGTTCTCCCTGTCAGTAAAGGTTCACCCTGTCAGTAAAGGTTCTCCCTGTCAGTAAAGGTTCTCCCTGTCAGTAAAGGTTCTCCCTGTCAGTAAAGGTTCTCCATGTCAGTAAAGGTTCTCCCTGTCATTAAATGTTCTCCCTGTCAGTAAGGTTCTCCCTGTCAGTAAAGGTTCTCCATGTCAGTAAAGGTTCTCCCTGTCAGTTAAGGTTCATCCTGTCAGTAAAGGTTCTCCCTGTCAGTAAAGGTTCTCCATGTCAGTAAAGGTTCTCCCTGTCAGTAAAGGTTCTCCCTGTCAGTAAAGGTTCTCCCTGTCAGTAAAGGTTCTCCATGTCAGTAAAGGTTCTCCCTGTCAGTAAAGGTTCTCCCTGTCAGTAA